ATCGTCAACCTGTAGTATATTGGGAATTAATGTCTTAATAAAGTTGAGTTTCAAAGAAAATCCCCCCCCTGGAGTTTTACAAACTTTTCTGGCAACTTCTAGTGGGCACACCAGGCAATCTGTTTACTTTTCTCATTGGAGAAAAAAAGAGTAGTTTTCTATGATCAGAATGAGTCAATATCGCCCATTTGCATCAATATACATATTCTCATTTTCCATCACTGAAATCCATGGATAAGGCCTTCATCATCGTTCATTCTTTCTTTTTCAACACCAGAAACCTAAAACCACGTGAATTTGTCAACAGGCATTAATCATATTCTCCCGTACCTGGCGGTTTAGAGGACTTTATTTTCATAGCTTTCTTAGCTAAAATATGTATGTATGATGTGTCCTTTGCCTCACCTTCCTTCGAAGAACCACCTGATTTTTCTCACATTTATTAATTTTAGTGGAACTTCAATTCTGATCAATAACTTCACTAGCAATGATAAGCCTGATACTCTAAAGACTTCGCTTGCTTTGCTTTTTATGGATTCACGGAATGGGAGAAGGTCCACTCAGTAGAGCAAAATCTAGGAGCTTCCTCACTGGCAAAACCCACCCCCCAAGAAAAAGGAAAGAAAATATTAGCTCTTTATAAGAAAACACACAGATAATATCTAATAATTCAAGCTATATATGATCTTCAGAAAATAAATTACAATTTGGGTCTAGAAAGGGCCAATGTTTTGAATCCATAACCCATTTTTGCATATTTGTGGGCCTAATCACCCATTAAAACTGTTAGGGCAAATTATATGTGGTCCATCGAGTACTGTTGCGGTCCATGTGGAAGCTTTAAATGGGTTCCGTACTTGGCCTGAAGAAGAAAAATAAAAAGTACTAGCTCATTGTTGTCTCATGGTTATAGGTTTACCATTTTTACGTTCATTATACTGTTATCCAACTCTTTCTTTATCTTATACTTATTTATTTATGTACTTCATTTTGGTACTTAATTATATTTTCTATTCCATGTTCAACCCTTGATTTACAGGATTTTATACACCTGTTTGTGTCGACCTATCTTACTATTCACTACTACATTGGATTCAAAACTTTGGGTTATACAAAGCTATTCATAGCTCTCTTCTGTTTCATATATCTTAACTCCTTTCTTAAGTTTGAAATTGAAAAATTATAAATTAATGTTTTAGATTCTTAATGGTTATGGTGTCCCCTAGAGAATTATGTTGTGCATATATAAATATTCATTCACGCGTAATAAAATATAAGATAATAAAGGAAATAAGTATGCAAAATAAAAAGGGCCAAGCCCAATAGATGAACTAGTTAATTGGGTCAGAGTTCAGACCCAAATTTTCAGTGGGCGGGACAGATCCAGCAAACCGGGTCATACCCAAGTGACAAAACACTAGAGAGTTCATTTTCTCAATAAATCAATATATAGAGAACACACACTCAAACTATACATTGTGAGTATTGAGTTATTGACAAGCCCCAGTACTTCATCTTTGGACCCAAGTGTTAGCCCCTTGTAGCTTTTCCCTTGGTTGGGCTTATCTCAATCTGGCCCACACCAAGGCCATAATTCAGAAAAGGGAAAAAGAAACAGAAAGAAAGAAGAAGAAAAAATGTAGGAGAAAAGCAAATTTCTGTTTTTAAATAAAAAAATCTCAATTTGATGCAAACGGTTTGTACATGAGAAGCTGACAAGTTTCATGAGAAACTTTCATATTTATCTTAGTTCATGATCAGTGATCTCTGTCTTTTTCTTCAATATAATTTTGTCCTATTTTAGGAGATACCCTGGAAGGACGAACAATGGCATAAAATTATAGGAGTGCAATGCAAGTTTAACCCTTGATGATCGACTTATATTAATTTCCAGTAAGAATATTATGTTTATACTTCTCATTTTTCATCCTATAATTATCAAGTTTTGAGGCTAAGAGGCGTCACAACTTTCACATTCACATTAAGAAGAGATGAGATGAATTTTAGATTTATAAATAAAGATATTATTTCACTTATAAAACATATTTTTTAAGTTGAAAACGTGTACATGACAAATAGTATCAAATTAAACTTAAATCTTAATTGATGTGAGACTTTCATAAAAAATATCAAGATCGAAGACTAAGAGTTAGCTTTTTGGTTAATCAAATAAGTATTTTGAAATTAATTGTTTGTTTAAACAATTTCTCTCTATATTAATAAAAGAATACATGATTTAAAAATTTCAATTGGTATGTTTCACTCACAAAATCAATTGTCTACGTAAATTTACTTTTAATTCTTCTTCTATTTTCCATTAACCTTTTAATTTTACAATATTTGTAACTTCTATTAGATATATTTTTTAAGAAAATTTTTTAATTTTTGTTAGGGTCCTATGTAAGCAGTTAGGATTACAAAGTTCGAAAATTCATGTACTTTTTACTTTTTACTTCTATTAGATATACGTACTTACATTTTTTTTCATTTGAGTTTAAAATATTCTTTTTTATTTTCTTACCAAAGAAATTTTTTTCATTACAAATTACTCTTCTATGTTCTTTTTATTTGCCTTATCCCTGCTTGTAAACTACATTTTCCAAATAACAGTTGCAGGAAATACGTGTCCATTTAAATCCTATTTATTATTATAATATTAAATTTTTATATTAATATTTCATATTTTAAATGTATTTTAAAATGAAAACTTAAATATAAATAATTATTTATTAATATAATAATATCTTGATCATAAAAATCATATTCATTCATGCCCATCCCAAATCAAGTCAAGTCTACAAGCTGCAATGATAACTCGACTTGTAAACATCTCTATTTATAATAGAGCAAGAAATTTTAATCGTGAAAAGTATCATTAATTTTTTTGGTAGTTGTATACGAATATGTATTATACATTATGGTTTTGAGAAAAAAATTGAGAAGTAAAAAAATACGATTATGTATGAGATGAAGATATTACATAGTAAATAATACACAGAAGAGTTACTTAAATAGTGAAAAGCTACTGAATTATGATTATTTCGTATCTAATTTTTTATTATATCTAATTAAATCTTTAATTTTTAATTTGTGACCAACAAGTTTTTAATCTAAACAAAAAATTAACCATCAAACTAAATGTTAACTCATAACATAACCTAATGATAGGAAGAAGAAATCGGGAGGACTTATACAGCTTCTTTAAAAATTAAAATTATGTTGTTTGGAGGATAAATAAGAAAAAAATACAAAAAAGAGAGAAAAATTCACATTAGTTGTCATGTAATTATATCATCAAACCAATTGAAATTGGGTTTTCTATTAGGATTAAGGATTTGTTTGGATATAAATAAAAAAAATTAAAGACTCATTTGTGTATTAAGGACTTGTTTAGGCACTAATCAAAACTTTAGGACTCATTTGTGTACAAGAAAAGATTAGGGATTTAGTTGAAAAAATGACCATAGCTTGGGTGCTTTTTTACTGTTTAAGCCTAAAAGACTTTGTCTATTCTTTTTATTAATTTAATTCAAATTTTAATAAAATAATTAAAACATAATTAAAAGGCTTGAATATAGTATTGCATATAAATATATATATATATATATATGTATATAAAGACGTTGATATTTTTCATTTTCTTTCATTTTTCTCATGCAAGTTATATATACTTTGGAGACTATTTAAATGATTGAAAATTTATTTTTGTTTTCAAGAAATTAAATTAATGCAAATGTGGCATACATTCAAAATTTAGAAACAACTTAAACCTATAGAACTAGTTATTTACTTTATTTAGGATGTTCGTTACAAATTTCAGACTACTTTATCCACTTCTTAACCTTTTTGTTTAGGGCAAAAGATTATTACATTGGTCATCTCTAATCCTAAAATATATTATTCAATTTATCTTAGCAAAAATGAACATTAATGGATAATCGATACCATAATAAATTGACATATATCAAACTGGCAAGATTTAGGTAAAGTCTGTAAAGTTTATGCTTACGAAAGTTCAAATTGAAAATCAAAACCGATAAAACAATTGCACTAAATAATAGATTACATATATCCAAAATTTGAAAAATATTTTATCAAATTTTAATGTTGTTTAATGAGTCTTGTAACCAAAATTATGATGAAGCTTTTATCCTTCTCAAATATCAATTTGGGTTGGTGAATAGACAGGATTTTTAGTTAACTTTTTAAACTAATTTAATTTGATTTATGAGGATGTGGTAATATTTGAAAAGAAAATTGATTGGCCCTTGTCTCACCTAAGCTCCATATGACAAAAGAAAAAAGAAAAGGGAAAAGATATGAAAAGAGATGTCTCATTGACTAGTTTTGGTGTTCATTGACATAAAATCCCATATTTGTCCACATATATATAAGGATGAAAAACAAAAGGCCATAGATAGAGAGACACTAATGTTAAAAAAAACATCAAAAAGAAATAAAGAGAGAGAGAGAGAGGAGGCAAGAAGTTAAGACATCTTATTTTTTTAAAATGATTTTGTGTGAAAATAAAAGCACAAAAAATAGAATAGAATAAGGAAAGAAAGTAGAGAAAGGAAAAAGAAGAGAACAGAATAGAGGATAAGAATTAATCTTTTTGTTGTCACATGGCCATATGCCCTACACCACCCAACAACATTACATATGAGAGATAGATAGATATAGTTATTTCTCCTTTTTAAGGATCTTTAAATTAAATTTTAATTTATTTTTTTTTTAAAAGTGGAAGTCCCATATAAATAAACTCCCCTTTGATAGATACACATTTTTAGGTCTTTCTCATCCTCTCTCTTTCTTATTTTTTGCCTTTCTTTTCTCTCTCCTCTCTCATCTCCATCTCTTTCTCTTTCATAGGTTTTTTTTTTCTCTTTCTCTCTCCTCTCTCTTTTCTCTCAGGTTTCTCTCTCTCTCTCTCTCTCTTTCTCTCTCCAGAAAGGGCAAAACCCTAAAGAGTCGTTTACACCCCCAAGTAAGTTTTCTCTCTCCTCTCACTTCCATCTCTCTTTTCTTTTTTTTTTCCTCTTTCTCTTTCTCTCTCTTTGCTTTCTCTTTCTAAGAATTTTGAATATATGGGTCCTTACTCCTTCGTTGTACTATTAAACCTTTCATGTATATTTTTATTTATTTATTTTGTTTGTTTGAGCTTTGAAGGTGAAATTGTGAAGGAGATCTAGGATTTTATTAAGTTTCCAATTTGAAAGCCCCAAAACAGCAATAAAAACCCGAACTTTTTATTGAAGTTTTTTTTTTTGTGGTTCTTTTAGCTATATTTAGTAGATCTGATTATGGATTTTGATGCATGCAAAGTTTGGGTATTGGGAAAATGTGGGGAATTAGAAACTAGTTTGAATCTGAAAGTTTCCATTTCGCTGTTGCGTATCTTTAGATTTCCATTTCTGTTGCTTTCGAATCTTAGATTTTTCCATTTCTGCTATTGTTTTTATGTGCTGTGGATTGGGATATTTGGTTTGCATATCTTGGATCTGCGGAAATGTAAAGGCTACCAATTGAAATTTGGCTCATTGGAGGTGGGTTTTTTCGCTTGTAGTTGGAAATGTAACATGTTTTGTTGCCCTTTTGGTTTCTAGGAATCAAACATATTCTTTGGCATTCTGTGCATGTTTGATGTTGTTTTTTACTGATCTCTCTCTGGGTTTGTACGTGATTCGATCTGGCTTTGCTCTTGATTCATGTAAATGCCTCAAATTTCGTATTGAGGCCATAGTTTTTGTTTGAATGTTTGGGTTTTCGGTTTTCTCTCCATTTTACGGTCTTTTTGGGTTATTCTATGGGAATGTTAAGCAGGATTTGAATGGCATTAATGGGATAATTCAAATTATGGTAAAATTTTGATCATTCTGTTCTGTTGTTCACTATATGTAGCTTCATGGATGATGATGCGTTGAACATGCGTAATTGGGGTTATTATGAGCCGTCCTTGAAGGGACATCTTGGTCTGCAGCTCATGTCTAGCATGGCTGAGAGGGACACCAAGTCTTTCATTCCTGGGCGTGATCCCAATCTCATGGTTACTCCCAATGCTGCCTTTCACCCACGGGACTGCGTTGTTTCAGAGGCACCTATCCCCATGAATTATGTTAGGGATAGTTGGATTAGCCAGAGAGAAAAGTTTTTCAACATGTTACCAGCCACTGCTCCTAATTATGGCATTCTTCCTGAAACTTCGGCGGCTCATTCATTGCCAATATTGCAGCCACCACCTGATTCGTCATCAAGAAATGAGAGGGTGGTGGGTAGAGTCGAGGAGCCATCAGTTAATAAGGAAGGTGTTCCATTGAAGAAAAGGCAGGGTGGGGCTGCCCCAAAGACGCCAAAGGCCAAAAAGCCTAGGAAGCCAAAGGATAATAGTAATTCCACTGTTCAACGTGTGAAGCCTGCAAAGAAGAGTATGGATATTAAAATAAATGGCTATGACATGGATATTTCAGGCATTCCAATTCCAGTTTGCTCATGCACTGGAAGCCCTCAGCAATGTTATCGATGGGGCTGTGGTGGTTGGCAATCTGCTTGTTGCACAACAAATGTATCCATGTATCCTTTGCCAATGAGCACCAAAAGGCGTGGTGCGAGGATAGCTGGGCGGAAAATGAGTCAGGGGGCATTCAAGAAGGTCTTGGAGAAACTTGCAGCTGAAAATTATAACTTCAATAACCCAATTGATTTGAGGACTCATTGGGCTAGACATGGTACCAACAAGTTTGTCACTATCAGGTAGATTCAAATTGGTGGAAATGATAGTGGAACTCCATCGCTTATGGTCTGCTTCACCTGTATATATTTCTGTGGCCTTCGTCGGAGATCTTTGATGCCTTGTAGTTCATGAATTTTCAGAGTCATGATAATGTTTTAACTTTCGAACATCGTGGTTCTTTGGAACTTCTTAGTTTTTCATTTATGCTTGTGCTTTAAGAACATCCGTTTGTTCTGGTCACCAACTTTAAGTTGTGGATGAGTTTTTATTTGTTGGATCCTGTTGGATAATCTCCTTTCATCCACTCGGCAAAGTGTTATTATAGACTGGCAGTTGAATGCTGCTTTTCCTGGCAATCTTTTAGCTGACATCAATGACATTTTGTTTATTCCCTTTATTTGCATAAACTTTTGAATGATTATTAAGCAGTTATTTTGATCTATTTATTTTTTTTTTGCCTAGTTGTGTGAATGAATCTGTGTTGTGCAATCCTTTAATATTTTTTTGGAGAAAAGGAAAGAGCGGGGGGGATGTGGGGGAGGCAGTGATGGAGGTTTGGGGTTGGGTTTAAACCTATACTTGGAGGACACAGTCTGAGGTCTAAAAGTCAGTCTTGTCCCCTTTTATTAAATATAAGTTGATTGAACTGCTGCATTCTGATACATGCTATGTCAAAGATGAAAGTTTGTTAACCGTGGATTATCTATGCTGAATCATGTTCTTTAGTGCATGGATTTTAGAATCAGACTGTCTACTTGTTCTAGTTGATATAATAAGGCCTGGTTTGTTCTGCATTTATGTTAAAACCTTTTTAAAAGTCAATAGAATTTGATATGTTGGTCAGTTAGCTATGGTTATTTGTGCATCAATATGTTTCTAGAGTACCAAATCACTATATCAAGGAGTAGAATGATCAGAACTTCTCCTTTGCAACCCCTTCTTCCAAATTGTCTTTTATTCTTTTAATTGCTAGCAGGGAGGAATCAGAGGAAAACTGTAGCAATACCTAAGAAGATGCTGACTGAGATCAAGAACCAATCTTCTTTTGTGGCTTCTCCAACCTTTTGTTTTTCTTTTTGCTAGCAGGGAAGAAAAAGATGAACATACATTGTGGAAAACCTAACAAAATGAAGAATAATTTCTGAAGCAATTTGAAAATGGCATTTATCTAATTTTTTTTTGAGGGCTATGACTGAAATTGTACATAAGTGTTGCCTATTTAATCTTTTCTTGCTTGCTTTATGTGCTTTGCTAGTTTGGTTCACTGGATGATAGAGGTTTTCATCTATTTGTTTGGTTGTTTAGGAGGTTGAGAGTGTAATCTGATTTCTTTCCAACTTCTTTACCCACATGTTTTGATTTTTGTGTGGGTTTATGGAAAAGACAACTCCTCACCATTGTTGTTGTGAAAAGAGAGCGTAGAGAAAGACAATTTCATTGAAGGTATTAGTGGAAAGAAGTAACTAATATGGAGCAGTTAATAAACGTAGGCACTATGAGCATGACGTTTATTGTGCTATGATGAAAGTTGTGTTACTTAGGAGATACAAAATAATTATAGTTTTAGCATCACTTGTGGAAATGTTGGGGCATTTGATTCTGTTGAGAGGTATATGCTCCATCATTTACCTGCCTGTCACTCTTAAAAGTCAATGTTGCTCATGAAGTGCAGCTTTCTTAAGCAACTGAAAGTTAAGCAGGGTAAGATGTCTATAAAATGTATACAAGCATTCTGTTCGCTAGGATTTGTGTAAATATTGTTTCCAAATTATTCTAAATCTTTAGCAGAATAATATTGTCCTAAGGTCTATATGACATTGCCATGCTTAGTCAGGAATGTGTGCAGGATGCTGATCAAGGTGATCTGTTATCATTTGAGTGCGGCGTTAAGGACAGATTTTATTGTTTTAGTTTGGTGTGGTGCTATTTATTGTAAGATCCATTGGCATATGGTTAGCATTACAAGGAACAGATTTCTTCTGTTGTTTATCTGTTTGCTCCTTTCCTCTCATCACCTGCTAAAGTGTGGCTTTTATAGTTGTTGGTAGGTTTTACGACAACTCTTGTTCAAACAATTTGAAGGCTAGTTGTTGTTTTGTTGTTATTATCGGTAATACTATTCTAAATTGTTTTGATAGATTAAGGCAAGTCATTTGTTGCCTGACATTTGAATCATCCATTGATTTTCTGGTAACAGGATTTATGATATATAGGTTGCCACATCATAGTTTATAACTATATGTACGTGTCTATGTCAGCATGCATGCACTATTAAATTGTTTCTTTGGTGTGGTGCACATTTCAATCTCATTTTTGGTGGTTAACAATGAAAAAATCTTGCTCTTCTATTAGTAGTTGGCCTGAACTTGTTAAATGCCGCCAGATATTTAGTTGAATGGTCTAAGAAGTAAACTAGGAAAGGTGTATCTGGATTCTGTGAGGCTTTTTTGAGGTCCTTATTTTAGTCTTTTAAGATATTTGAGCACTGATATACTTTCAGCAAGTATTTGTGGTTGTTACTTTGGAGATATCTATTTCTCAAAGTTGCCTAAGAATGTATGTCAATGTGAACATAGGCCAAACCATGATTTTGTTTCTTATGAGGCCTCTTTAAAGGTTTCTATTATTCTAGTAGTAATTGTTTCTTGAGAAATATGGTTCTTTCAGAGCCTAGGATTCAAGAAAAATTTAGGTGTTATTATTAGTTAAAATATTAATTAAAATTTCATTTAGTTAATTTTTTGTTATTTGATTTTTTTAATAAGTAAAAAAAATTAAAAAGGAGTAAAAAAACAAAAACATCCATAAAAAGAAAATTTAAATTCAATTAATGAAAAGTTTTGATAAGGGTTTTTTTTTCCTTAAAAAATTCATTTTATGTTGATTTTTTTTTTTTGGGAGAGGGGGTGGTGGGGGTGTTAAATAGTAATTTTAAAAAAGTGGGACTGGGAGTGGGAGCTGAAGTTTTGTTTTGACTTCCACAAGGAGTAGAAGCTAACCCTAATTAAAGATAAAGATGGCAACTCTTATCCTTTGACCTAAATAAGGACTAAGAACTTATGCAAAACATCATTTACCTAATGCCTACTTCTCCTCCTGTAATTGCTATCCATTATTAATTTTATTTTTTGAGAAGAGAGGCTTTAATTGCTATAGGAAAGTTTTTCAATATTGGTGTGCAAACTATATGAAATTTAATGTAAGCAAACTACATGCTTAATCAAATGTCTATTGCATATATCATTATCACTATTATATGTAAAAGTACAAGTTCTAAAAGTGTGAATAGTACACTTTTAATAATTTATTTAATTAATTATTTTATCTTTAATTAAAATTTTTTATCAAATTTAAATATTAATTAATTTTTATTTACTTCCTTATTAATATTTAAATTCTGAAGAAAACTTTTCATAATGATTTTTTTTATCAAATTAAATATTCGCTAATTTTCATTTATTTATTTCTCTAATTAATTTTGAAACTCTTTATTAGATTAAATTGTTCTTAAAAAAAATTTAAATTTAGATATATCAAAAAATAGAATTTTATGCCAGGTTGAATCATTAAAAATTTAAAATAAATGAAAAATTATTCTTGACCTTACACTTTTGTCCTTACTGTTTTTCCTTCTTTTTATTAAAGTAAACTTTCCTTATATTGATTAATTTTTACCTATCTCTTTCCTTATTAACTTTGAATTCTTAATAAAGTAAGTTGTTCTTAGAATAAACATATTGGTTTAATTTTAAACATTATAGTTATGACCTACCATGTATAAATTAGTAGGTCTCACCCTTAGATCATCTAATGAAAGTTTGCAATCAGGACAGACAAATACTGAAGACAAAAGCGTAAGGTCTAATAGTATTACTCGTAAACAATTATGAGATTTACATAGCTGATGAGTTTCAATTAATTTTATGTCTAACTAAAGATACATACTCAATGACTGCAAATATAGATATGTTTTTACTGACAGTCTCTCGCTGGTAGTGAATTTCATTGTACAGTGTTGCAGAGAACAAATACATAAAGTGTGAAGATGCAGGCTTAGCTTTCAACTAGATAACCAGCTCAGACAGGTAAATTTCTCATTTTCAATGCAGAACATGAAGAAGGAATGTGCAAACAGCAGTTGATGGTCAATTACATTAGCAAGTTGAAAGAATAGTACTAGAAAAATGCTTGCTATTACTATGAGCTCCTCTCCATTGACTCTGGTAGTAGCATCTCTTTTGGAGAATCTGACTGTGCCTCTATTATACACTTATCTTGAGCAGAAAAGAAGACAGGCTTGGGAGGCATTTCCAGATCATCAATGTTACCTTGTAACATTTCCACGACTCTGGTCATCGAGGGGCGTTGCGATACCTTGGTTTGAGTGCACCATAACCCAATTATCAACAACTTTCTAGCTATAGTCGCATCACTTTTAGTCGCATTCTCAAGCTCTAAATCTCCTTTCTCATTCAGTTCATAGACCCAAGAAGGGAAATGCACTTTGCTTGAATTGATTGCATCTACATCGACTTTCCTTCTTTTACTTGCCAATTCTAGCAATAGCATCCCAAAACTATAAACATCTGATTTGCAAGAAACAGCGCCAAAACCCCTTGAAATCAATTCAGGTGCCATGTATCCAACTGTTTCACTTGTGGCACACATGGACATGAAATCATGCTTCTTTGGGTACAATTTTGCGAGGCAGTAGTCTGCTATTTTGGGGATGAAATTCTGATCTAACAAAATATTTTGAGGTTTAATATCGAAATGAACAATGCAAGCACCAGACCTTCCATGTAGGAACTCAATACCTCGTGCTGTTCCTAAAGCAATTTCATGAAGTTTCTCCCAGCTAAACGAATGAGAGTTTGAGAAAATGTACTTGTCAAGAGTTCCATTAGGCATGTATTGGGTGACAAGAGCATATTTAGATCCCTCAGAACAGAATCCTAGAAATGGTACCATATTCGGATGCTGAATCTTACTAATCGTAGAAACTTCATTGATAAACTTTTCTTCGCCAAGTTTAGAGCTCCCAAGCATTTTAACAGCAATTGAGCAACCGCCAGGAAGCTGCCCTTTATAAACCGAACCAAAGCAACCTTGCCCTATTTTATCTCTGAAGTTGTTTGACATGGCAAGTATATCAGGATAAGTATACCTTTCTGGAGTTGAGGGGTGCGGATCCTGTGATGAATTTTCTCTGACATCAGTCTTCTTTCTCATAGAGAAGTATTTGTGGAGAATGAAAGCGAGTATGACCACTGGAAGGAGGATGAATCTGACAGTACTAATTATTGCTACAAAGCAAATATATATTGATATTTTTAGTTCAAGTAAATGAAGATTCTGAAAGAAAACTGAAATTTCAACGAGGAAATGGAAGTATACCAAACAGAAACATTGCAACAATGTAAGTGTATATCAACGGAAGTTCAGCTTCGTAATCTGCATAAATAAACAATATATGAATACAAAAATTAAGCTCCACACAATAAACAAAGAGCCAATTCTGAAGAATTTAAGGATATAGGGATTCAAATGATTGAGAGAAGATTCAAAAAGAAACAGGCCTACTAACCGTATTCTTTTTCACAATTAAAGAGATAAGTTGTATCTCTAGTTTTATAGACGCAGCCACGACCCTTTGCCCTGCAATCTCTACACTCAACCGACCATCTCATATCAAACCCTGACTCTTGCATCTTCAAGGCTGTTTCATAAGAAAGGTTCTGCACCATAATTTTATAGAATGCAGGGACAGTTGAAATGACCTCGCAGGACTTTGGAACATCATTCGAGAATAAAGGGTACCCAGTTATATTGACATAAACAAGAGATGTATTTCCACTTAAACAGGGTACTCTGCTATTAGCCAGATCGCTGATATTGTTGGAACACCGAACAAAATTTAAAGTATACAAGTAATTGTAATTAACCAGTCCTGGATACCGAGCATCCATCTGCACTTCCTGGATTGATAATGATCTGTTAGGAAGACTGCAGCTTCCATTGGCTAAGTTAACATCAGCAACACGAATTGTGCGTTTGTCATAGGAAATTCTCTTCACGTAGTATAACCCTCCATGGAAATTCAAGATGGTCTTATTGTTCTTGCAAGATAGTTGGAAATCAGGATCACCACAGCCAGCTGGATCTTCCTCCAGGCGGAAAGGGTAGCTGATGTCATGGATATCTCCGCATGAAGATAAACATATTTGTGGGTTTTTTCTTGCTTCAGTTGCGTTAATGAATAAAAAGATCAGCAAAGAAAACAGAGCTGAAAAATTTTTCATTCTGCCTCCGAAATCTCCGAGTGGACAACGGTTGATGGTAAAGTAGGCAGATTGCTGAAGTTTTCGGGTCTCTTGAAGTTTATAGAACACAAACGTTGAGAGAACCTTTTAACTCTGGTCAATAAGACGCGTTTTCTGCACCAAGGTTTTTTCTGATGCTAATCAGTAGTTATGTGCATTGTGGAATGTATGTGAGAGTGTTCAACCAATAACCATCACAAGTATTTCCAGGATTGACATTGACCTTGAATTTTATAGTTTTGCTGACCCAATTGATCTCTATGGTTTGTATGTGCAGAATTCTTTATTAGTATTTGAAGTAATTTAAAGAGAAAAGGCTGATGTGGCAAATAGTTACAATCTAATTCTGTTAATTCCTGTAATGAAGCGTCTACCGGCTTTGACCTTTAGCATTTTAGATTAGGACATGGTCCATTTAGTAGAATAAAGCTAATACATCAAATGCAATATGATGTATGTTAGTGCAGAAAATCTGTTATGCTAAATATCCATCTTGTCTAATCTAAACTGTCCACCTCATATAAGGCATTCACAAATGCTTTTGAACCATATTTTTGAAACCTTTCACCAAGTTGTCAAATTTGATCATTGAAATAATGCCATGAAAGAAGAATTGCAATCTTTGGAGGAGAAAGGTACTTGGATAATTGTGCCCTTATCATCAAATTCACACAACTTAGATGGCAGCATTGAAAGATAAGAAGTTAAGACTGGTAACTAAGGCTACCCTCAAAGAGAAGGTTTTAATTATCAAGAAATCTTTAGGGTGATTTGTGATATAAAAATTATGACTCAAATTTTTTTTTGTTAATTAAAAGTAATTTGTTATTGGTTATGGAATTAAATGTGTTTTATCATTATTTATAATGAATTAATTTTGCTTTGTTGTTAATTATACAATAGATAAATTATTTTACAACTTACATATAATCAACTATGGTGCGTCTTGATAAATTATTAAAAATTGTTGAATTATTCAATTATTACTTTTATTTATTTGAAAAAAGAGAATTTAAAGTATATTATTTTTTAACATAAGAATCATGCACCAATTATTCAATCAAATACTCTAGTGTAACTTATATCATTATCTAAATATATTAATTATATGAGCAATCATTGGTTGCTATAAGCGTATATGTTAAAATTCTTTGTACTTTTATGATCTCAAAATTTATTTATTAATTTTATTTTATTATAGTATGTTATTTTATACAAAAATTATTTTAGACAAAAAATTTATTTAATTTTAATTTTTTTATGAGAATATATCTTTTTTTGCATACATATATTTCACTGCCCTATATTTTCAATGATAAATAATTGAAAATTGAGCTTATTCCTGATTTAATATCACATATAATGCACTTTTAGTAAACAATTACATATATAAAAAAGAAACAATAATTAAAACAAAACCGGAAATCATGTATGACAACAAATGTCAAGTAGGGTGCGTATATGTTGTAAGATTTGATTATTTCAAGCGAGAAATCTTATGCCAAGAAATTCAAAGAACAGCAGATAGGCTCCCTAACAGAGAAATCTACTCCCACAGTTTCAGTTCCAAATGAAATCGAAGAATATGTAAATTTAATCCCTTAGCAGAATCATCTCAACAGTCTCTTGCTGGTAGTGAATTTCATTACACAGAGTTGCAAAGAACATATACATACAGTGTAAAGATGCAAGCTTAGTTTTCTACTAGAAAACCAGCTGAGACAGGTAAAATTTTCATTTGCAAGGAAGAACAAAAAGGAATGTACGAACAGGCGTTGATGGTCAATTACAATAGCGAGTTGAAGGAATAGTACTAGAAAAATGCTTGGTGTCTCTATGAGCTCCTCTCCATTGACTCAGGTATTAGTATCTCTTTTGGAGAATCTGACTCGGGAGCCATTACACAGTTATCTTGAGCAGAAATTAAGACAGGCTTAGGAGGCATTTCCAGATGATTTTCAATGTTCCTTGTAACCTTTCCACGACTCTGGTCAGTCTGTGAAGATTTTTCCCTGACATCAATCTTCTTTCTCATAGAGAAGTATGTGTGGAGAAGGAAAGCAAATATAACCGGTGGAAGGAGGATGAATCTGACTGCACCAATTATTTCTACAAAACAAATATAGATTGACATTTTTAGTTCAAGTAAATGAAGATTCTAAAACAAAAAACTGCGATTTCTACGAGGAAATGGAAATATACCAGCCAGATTCACTGCAGCAAAAAGAGAGTACACCAATCCAACTATAGCGTCGTAATCTGCATAAATAAACAATATATTAATATAAAATTAGGCTCCACACATTAAACAAAGAACCAATTCCGAAGAATTTAAGGATATAAGGATTTAAACGACAAACAGCAGAGAAAGTTTGCAATTGTTTGACAGAAGATTCAAAAAGAAACAGGCCTACTAACCATATTCCTCTTCGCATTGGAAGATATTGGCTGTATTAAATTTATTGACACAGCCACGACCCTTTGCCCTGCAATCTCTACACTCAACCGACCATCTCATGTCAAACCCTGATTCCTGCATCTTCAAGGCTGTTTCATAAGAAAGGTTCTGCACCATATTTTCATAGAATGCTGGGACAGTTGAAATGACCTTGCAGGGTTTTGGAACATCATACGAGTATACAGAGTCCCGAGATATATTGACATAAACATGAGATGTATTTCCGCTCAGACAGGGTGCTCTGCTCTTAGCCAGATCGCTGATATTGTTGGAACACCGAACAAAATTTAAAGCATACGAGTAACTGTAATCAGCCAGTCCTGGATACCGAGCATCCATCAGCACTTCCTGCATTGATAATGATCTGTTAGGAAGACTGCAGCTTCCACTGGCTAAGTTAACATCAGCAACACGAATTGTGCGTTCGTCATAGGAAATTCTCTTCACGTAGTATAACCCTCCATGGAAATTCAAGATGGTCTTATTGTTCTTGCAAGATAGTTGGAAATCAGGATCACCACAGCCAGCTGGATCTTCCTTCAGGCGGAAAGGGTAGCTGATGTCATGGATATCTCCGCAGGAAGATGAACATATTTGTGGGTTTTTTCTTGCTTCAGTTGCGCTAATGAATAGAAAGATCAGCAAAGAGAGCTGGGCTAAAAAATTTTTCATTCTGCTTCTGAAATTTGCTAGTGGATAAGGATTGATGGGAAAGCAGGCAGATTCCTTCTTTTTCGGATATTAGGAAAGGTCGGCAGATTGCAGAAGTTTTCGGGTTTTATAGAACAAAAAAGTTGAGAGAAGTTTCAACTTTGGTCAACAAGACGCGTTTTCTACACATTTTGTTGTTCTCATGCTTATCAATACCCGTCGAAAGGACGACCAGGCCGAAGTCATAGTATGTGGACTGTGGACACTTGATTCTGACAGAGACTGTTCAACCAATAACCATCACAAGTATTTCCAGGATTGACATTGACCCTGACTTTCATAGTTTACTAAAAATGATATAATTCCATGGTGCAAATTTCAAAATTTTAGCACGTAATATCCAATATCTTTGTTTATAGATGTTCCTAATTTTTTATTTTTTCTTTTAGATTTTGAACACCTAACGTTCTTTTTTTTTTTTCATGATTTTCCTTTTATTTTTGGACATTAAAAATCTACATCAATAATTTCAAATAAATCAGATAGGAGACAGAGAGGCGAAGAAGCAATTTATGATAAAATCTGTCCCCATATTTAATGCCAAAGCCAATTTGTATACATCCTTTTCTTAATAATGTACTCGGTCAAGGGTGGTCGGTCAGCTTTATATTCTGGAGTCAATTGTGGAGCGTTCTTTAATTCATGACTTCATAGCTCTCAATAATAAGTGGCTAATCATCATATTCAAGACCAATCAAGATTGAAAGTTGATTCTCACGCATCATGAAATTACTGCTTCTAATTTCTTTTTATATATTTGGACAAAGACCAAAAGAAGTGGCTTGCACCTTTATCTAAATACAAGCGACAACATTTCCCAAGTCCAACTTGCGTTATTGCTAATCTAAAGAAGAAGAAAGCGATGAAGAAGCCTACCCCATCCCCACCCAACCCCAAAAACCCAAAGAAATTAAAGAGAGAAAGATCTTTCTGCGAAATCTCTGAAATGGAAACTTGATATCTGTTTTTCTCAAGCCCAATCAACCATTTCTCTCATGATATCCATGCACCTTAATTAATCAAATAAAAACAGTACATACATATATATATATATATATATAGATGGATATCCCATGAATTAAAAGAAGTTCAGATCATGATGTCAATTCAATATATAGATCAGAAAAATATTAAGAATGTACTATAACTCTGATCTAAAGAATTTTTTTTTTTCTATATTTGTAATTGAAGGAACTTGAGAGCAGAGCTAGACACACACAATTATTGTTCCCACTGCTAGAAAGTAATTAAATCCGGAATTTCATAATGATTATAAACAGGCACATCAATGGGTACAAGAGGGAGATCTCTAGCAGCAGCAGCAGCAGTATTCTTATGATTAGAGAAACCAGTATTCTCTCCATTGATCATTATAACATTTTCATCAAAAACCACCCATTTGTCTGTTATTATTGTCTTCAGAGCTCCCTTTGGTTCTTTCTGTTCAACAATTGCATTATTTCCTTCTCTCACAACTATAGCCATTTGGTTGTTTTCCTTGAAATCCACGTCCTTGTATGTCTTCTCTGATACCCCATTGATTATTCTCTCAAGTTCCTGAACATCTTCCTCCGGAATCTGAGTAACTGTGGGGAATTCGCTGGCGTTTAAAACACCATATTCCTGGCAAAATTCGAAATATAGAGAAAGTTCCTCACCCTGCATCATTGCCTTTTGAAGAACCTTAAGGGCCATTACTGCTTCAACTTTACCAACTGAATATATTTTCATCAAAACCCTTGCAATCTCGCTGCATATTTTGCTATAAACATCAAATATCTCAATGATAACACAATCCATGGCTTCCAGAATCAAACCAACCTTCATATTATCCGCTAGAGGCCTAATTTGAAGCAACATATCAAGCAAAGATTGCCATTTCTGCAGTTTCGACAGCTGCTGCAGCATCAATGAACGTTGTTCGTCCCTTTTGTTGTCTTGCTCAAACGAAACGATAGCTCTTTGATCTAGAAACGCAAAGTAAGCACGAATGAAAGCATTAAAACCCCACGTTTTGCTTGACCTGGAATGTCCGTCGCTGAAACTCGACATATCAAATGGCAAACGGCCTATCTTTTGAACAGCTGGGACCTTACAACAAAAGACACCATGCATGAGCATCAACCCCTTGATGGCAACCACCCAGCTCTGCGTCTTCTCCATCCGTTTAGACAGAGCCCAAATAAAAGGACGAAGGCTAATTGGCGACGCCCGAATCCACGAAAAGACTCTTTGGGCATTCCTTTTATCAATGAAATATTCATCGTGACTAGTGGCCTTGATGATGGCAGCCTCAATATCAGGATTCCTGAAGGAACTCTTTCTGGAAAGATTGGCCACGACTATGCTGTTCCTGTCTTTGATAGCACCGGCCGCCCTCTTCCAAAGAGTCATCTTTTCGTGTTGGATCGTCGCACAAATGGGAAGGGAAAAAGCAGCGGATTGGGGTGATGAAAGCCCTTTCTCTCTCTATTTTAGCCCTGTGGTAGTTGCAAACTTGTATTGCCCCCTTACTTCTTTTATTGTTTGTTACAATTTTTGGTTCAAAATAATCGGACGAGTGGAAATGGCTAACAACAGAGAAGCAGCCACATTGCCGGCTAGCTAATGGAATTAGTGGCAGCGATTAGGCCATGATTGGCTGTCTCTTCCATTTGTTATACAGTTTCAAAGCAGCATATCAGTATATTGAATTTCGTTTACACGTTTGGACCGTTGCTATATCATGTTTGCCTTACTCATTCATGCTTATTTTTTTCTTATGTTGAGCTGTCTCTCTTTACGCGCTTCTGTTGTGGGTACGCATGGCCAACATCTATAGCATGTTTTGTTTAAGGGACAACTTTGCATACTTATTCAATCCCTTCAGGGACCAGTAATTTAACTAAAAACTTCCTCAACAGGATATCCTAACATTGAATTCAAATCTTAGATGGAAGATATTAATTAGCTTCCATTTCATAACAGTTTTCCTTTGTAGTTTTGTCATAAGATACAAAATAATGACCAAGTTCCGTATACTTCTTATTAGAGTTATAGATAGCAACAATTAATACAATACGTAGATAAAGCTCAATCAACATACAGATAAAGCTCAATCCAAGAACAAGAAACAAACATAAAAGAAGACATAACAACATGCAGATAAAATTCAATTAATATGCAGATAAAGCTTAATCCATGAACAAGAAACAAGTATAAAAGATGATACATTTAAATCTAAAGATGAGATGGGTTTTATTTAGAGTAGAATTTTAATAACTATTTGTATTTTAAACTTATCATTTAATTTTCGTACCATAAATACATCATTGGCATTCAATACCAATGCAGTTTTCTTTCCTATTCAGTCTCCTATATTGAATTTCTTTACTTTTGTCAAAGCTATCGGCCTTTGTTATTTTGGTTTATAAGGTAATCTTTGGATAGTTGACTACATAAGTTAAAATGAAAAATATTTTTTTCGTAGAAAAAAACTCAAAACTATTCAATTTTCTATTGGTACCTTGTAGAATAGAAAAGTCCAATAATAAGTAAATGATGGAAGATTCCTTTTAATGACAGAGGGCTGAGTGTTGGTTGACAGATCATTAAACTCGGTGGAATAGCAAAATGGAGAATGAGTTAGAGAGATATAGACCAGTCCAATGCTTTAATGCTTGCCAACTTGTTAACTTATTAGCCCTTAATGTGCCACTTTGCAAACATACAGAGAGGGATCCGTTGATTTGTAACCTCCTGAATATGATATATATTGTCAATCTACCTTTTCTGCATACCCTTGTCTCAGCCCTGCACTTGAGAGAGAGAGAGAGAGAGAGAGAGAGAGAGAGTGAGATGGAGAGAGAGACTTACAGAGACTGTCAGAGGAACCATGCATGCTATCTTGGCGGCTATGCAATTGATGGTTGCAGTGAGTTCATTCCCAGTAACACCATGGAAAGCCACTGCAAAGCCTGTGGTTGCCATAGAAACTACCATCGGAAAGTCCCTTTTATATACTTAAACGAATCTCCTGAAATTGGCCACGGTTCTGGTAAGTCTTTTTGGAGCCTAAGAGAGGCAAAGAGAATCGCCAGGCAGCACCGTGTTCTTCCAGCCCCATCTCCCCAGGTACCGTTGCAGAAGCAGCAGAACTCCAATCGCAAGTTCAAGCAGAGGAAATCGAAGTTCACCGGGGACAGAGAGAAGCTATGAGAGCATTTGCGGAGAGCCTAGGCTGGACCATGAGGAACAAAGGTCGTCAACCGGAGATCAACAGGTTTTGTGAAAGAATTGGAGTTAGCAGGCTTCATTTCAAGCCTTACTTCAAAGGCACTGCGTCTACGTCTGGAGCTAACAGTTCCTCTTCTAAGGCTGTTTAGACTTCATAGTCCATATTTTCCCCTGTTCTTAGAATAACAATGTAGTCAAGGCCCTCGAAACGTGTAATTGTTAATCGATGTTGTTTATTTTTTCTCCTCTGGTGCAACAATGAATAGCCCTTTTCAGTGATATATCCTTCAAATTCAGTATGTATGTATGTATGTATGTATGTATACATATGATTCGACACTCATCAAGGATTCATATGGATACATTTGCTTGAGCATTAAAATCAGTGTTCTTAAAATATCTTAGATGAGGGCAAATTATGTAATTAGCAAACAATTTTCAAGGGAACTAATGATTAAATAAAGAGGGATGAAGAGGGGAATCTCGAGAACTAGGGTAGAAATGAGACTAAAAGTTCCCTCAAATGTCATAGAGGGGTCTCCACCGGCCCAGCCCCTGGCCTTCCTAGTGTTAAAGGTTTTAAGAGCCGAAAACTTTTTTCTGCAGTAAAGCATAATGGCCCAAAGATTTAAGTTGGTTTCAAACTGTATCTGTTTCCTTGGTGGGGCTCTATGTCTGCAAAAGTTCTTCGTGTTAAACACAGGCCAGCTTTGTTGTTGGGGTTTGATTAAAAGTCAAGGAATGCTGAAATTTCATATAATCTGACCAAATTCCGGCCCTTTGTAACCCTTCTTTACGACACAATGGATTTCCCCTTTTTTTTTCTGGGACTTCTTACATGTATTCCAATATGAAGAGTCACTATAGAGAAAGTCACTGTTTTAGATTACTATTAGCAGGTGTGGGGTACAAACAAACACGCCCCTCCTGGCCCTGAAAGGTGACATTTGCCTCTTAGCAACAGGAATCTTTCAGTTGTGGCATTTCAAACAATTTCACAGCTTATATTGATACTACTTTGTCTGAGGATATCCCATTTTCTGATGCACTAGAAGTGGCGAGTACAGAGAACACTCTATGGAGATGATCTGTTCCTAGAGAAGAAGAGAAACAAGTTTCAGAGAGTCATGGAAGAAAACACATAACACACTGGATTTATTTAGCTGAAGGGGATCTAAACATAATGATGAGTTTCTAAACAAGGTAATGTAGGTTGAAAAAGAAAGAGGAATAGTTTGTACATAAAAAGGCAAGAAGAAGGTACAGGTACACTATTTGTAAGCTATGAGTAATATGCCTGTATAATTAGGAAAAGGCATTGCATGTACATTATTACAACATACAATGTGGTTGATTACATCGAAATGAACAACGGCTAGCTAGCTTCAAGAGTAAAAGCATCAAAAGACAGGCCGCTATCTCGTGCTTTTCGCTCTGTCTCTCAATAGATTTTGCCTCATTTTTATACTCTCTTTCGAAGCTTTTTTGCTCTACAACAGGGGTACCATGCCATAACATCACAGCTCATGCATGTCTCATCTGCATAACCCAAGAAGAAAAAGCAGAAAAGTAGGAAATTGTTAGGATTTTCAACCGAACTACAGCAGCTGGTTCTTGAAAGCAATAAAGGACGACGAAAAAAGCTCTCTCAATTCGTGTACACGGAGAGAGAGAGAGAGAGAGCAAGCAATTTGGTAGTAATAAAGAAAGAAAAAGGCTAAAATTAAAGTACGGTACAAAATCAGGAGAGGAAAAATAGATATGGTGGGGGAATCTTTCTTCGTCTTTCACTATACTGGTGATCCCACACTGCTGTCTTTCTCTACCCCCAGCTTCTCCTCCTTTTCATGCTCGCTTTCCCTTTTTTTCCTCTCTCTTCCCCAGTTTTTCTTTTTAGTTTCACCATCTTTTTCTCTTTCCTTCTGTTTCCCTC